ATAATATTAGGGTTTATTTGTAAAGATAAGCAAATAATAAATATTACGAAGTATAAGATATAATGTTTACTTTTATTAATAACACCTTATTCTGTAGTTGCTGGTGACATTTAGGCAAGCAATGAAACAAGTATAACGAAAAAGTTGCATATATAAAATTAGAATACGATTTGAAATATTTATTACTTATTATAAAAGCAGCTACTGTTATATAGATGGCAACTACTATTCATCTTTGTTCCAAATTGATTTTAATTAAAAATAAGCAAAACACGAACGTACAGACATTTATTCAGACTAAAATATTAAATACAGATACACAGTTACAAAACATTTAATAAACATCAAATCACTGACCAGAAACTTAATATTTTTTATAAATTTGGTTTACGTGTCTATCACGTAGACTCAGTCTGACAGGTAGAAATCTTCATGGGACCCTCGTCATATATCTTACATACTGCAGTTAGCAACAAATATCAGTAGATGGCGATATACTGTCTGAATCTTGATTTTATATTAACCCGCTTTTGAGTTAGGTTTGGTCAGTGTTCTTTCCAAACTGTCTATAACTATGGCGTGCTAATGAATGGTAATAGGTTTAAAATAATGATCCACGTCTGGCAGTATTGACAAAATTTCAGATGTTGAGTAAATATGATGTTTAAGAACACAATGTATTCACAAGTAACAATTTAATAATATTAATAGATAACGTTTTAGTTCATTCAATTTTATTTTTGGAGTTACCTTTAGTATCCAGGATTAGATAGAAGTCAAGATAATCTAGCACCAGAACATTAATCGGCGACTGCTTCAAAACTGACTTAATGTCTTCCAGTCTGTGGAAAGGACCCCACAATTTATTAACGATTAAAATGCTCCCTCATTTATCAAAAGCTTCTTATACTTTCGCTCCGATTCCGTCACCAATTCCCATTCGTTTCCATATATCTAGGTGCAATATAAATGCCCGTATCCAGAATCGGTCGCACCTTTTACTACTTGTGTCACCTCAGCAGACTTATCAGATTACGATAACGTTGTAATTTTATTAGAGTAGATGAAAAAACCAAATCCTCTGCGACCATGTTTTAAAACACGTATACCTGTTGTATGAATCCAGGTATTTTTGATGAATCTCAAAAATTCCCAGTTAACAGCTGTTGTAGTCAATCAATGTATGAAATCAAATTTGGATAAATAACTCGAAGAAACCGCAGTTATACCATCTACCCAACCAACTGTAAGTGTTTTGCAGAAAATGCGCCCTGAAATCACTGCAGCTGGCCTTCGTAGGCAGCGGATGAAAAAAATATATTATTAAAAATCCCACAATTTGATCTGACACATGCCGAGCATACAACACATTTCGCTAAACAATTGATCACACCCCTGGGGTTGCTCATTTTCAGTCAGGCGACAATACATAGATAGGCATAATAATGTTGCTAAATAGATGCACTCGCTGTTAGCCAAAAAGTTTAAACTCATAGATCAGATAGAGCCGTACTATAAATACAAATCCAAAATGTATTGGAAAACCACTTAGTCAAGCTTTATTCGGATAGAGATATAATTACCGACAAAACAGTTAATCATAACAGACCTAACAGCACACTGACCATCAAAGAAACTAAAACAAGCTACCTAATAGATGTTGTGGTACCAAACACTGAAAATCTTTGAAAATATGTATTGAAATATTGAAAAATATATTCCTTTGGCTGATGAAATAAAAGAAATGTGGAATCGGAATACAGTTCGAATTATTCCAATAATAATATCATCAACAGACGTTATTCCTAAAACATTACATTATAGCCTAGTCAAATTGAAACTGCATAAACTTTCATACTTAAGTTTACAGAAATCAGTAATCCTTGATACATACGGAAAAGTACGCAGATTTCTTAACAGTGCTGACATATTGCCTTTTTCAGATAACACAATAGGTTGAATTAGAAGAGGAGTTTTTAATAAACAGCGATCATATTTCAGGGCAAAAAGTACTGTTAGCTCTATAAAATTTAAGAACAGAAAATTGGTTTCCATATCGTACCCCAAAAGATGTGAGTGAGGTTCTTTGGCATTAGCCCGTCTTCACTTGCTCAAAGTTAACCAGTGAAAACTGAGAAGGCCGGGAAAATANAGATTTTATGGCAACTAGACGTACTGGTCTCAATTTGGTTTATTCATTCATTTATCACAGCCTCCATTAGTCTAAATTACAACAGTAGGTAATTTTATTAGTGAGAAAAATTTAAAACTGTGGTACGTTCACAGACTTCAAAGTCAAAAATGGAATAAATAATAAAATGACGAATAAATATTATGTTGTTATGTACATGTTATTGCACAATAATTATTTCCACATTACACGGTTTGTCAGTAAAGATAAACACAGGAAACATGTCACACACTTTAATAATAGTAATTTATGAGTTGCCAAAATACGGGAAATTGAAGCAACATGTTGTCCTAACTAAAAATGAGATATGTACTAAATCTTTTCGAATTCCGAATTAGTTTAATTTCCGGTAAGGATTTCAAGTTAGTTAAATATTAAAATTTGGAGGATGTATGTTGATTGCTTTTCCTTTGATGTACATATTTATAATGTCAAGTTTATTTTCTTTTTAGTGTGAAAGTAGATTGCAGACTGTAATTCTCATTATTGTTATCAATGCATATTACTTCCTATTAAATTAAGAAAACAGTTTCATTCCAAAATAAGTNTATTCCTATATGTATATACAAAGAAAAATGGTTTATAATGTTTCAAAACGTCTTATGTTAAACTGTACAGTATTGTTTCGACATATTAAGTCTTTTTGAAAAGAACATCGGAATTAGAATCTTATTTACATTTACATTTACATCTCATAAAATCTTCTATTCTTTTATATTTTAATTTCTATTAACAACAATATATCCTAAATATGTTTTGGCTTTTTCCATATTTTTATACATTAATATTGTCGTTAATGTTGCTATTATTCCTAAATCGTATAAATAAATATGTCTTTATTTCATAATGTGACATACATAGATATTGCTTTTCAACAGCATATTATGTATTGCATATTCTTTACAAGAGACATATTACTTACAAACAATATAGTACTTTGGTAATTTATCAAATAAAATCCAAAATAATTTACCAATTCCCTCCACTTGCTTTCTTCACATCGAACATCGGTCGTAATTAGTAAGGAGTAATTTGATATATAATATCAAAAGTGGAAATTAACGTTTTTATATTATTTTCACATTTGTTTGAATTAATGCAGGTACCTTCTACAATTACTTTCTTCCAATACTATTATAAAAAAATGAATAGTCAACTTTAAATTTCACGAAAATATTTGGGTTTTCCAACACAAAAAAATAAATTATTCAAATTATGCATAATAATTAATAAGGAAAAAGTATAAGGTCAGACAGTTTTTCAATTTTCTATTGTACTGCTTGGTTTAGTGCTTTAAACTGTTGTTGTTACTATTAAATATTTGCTAAATCACAACATCACAAGGTTGCCAGTCTGAAAGCCGGTTGGAAACTCACTATCAAGGCTTTCGTTTCCCCCTTCATTATTCTTGTTTCTGCTTTTGATAACTGATAACTCGTCCTTATGTCCGTTGGTGAAGAATCCTTCCATGTTTTATGCCCACCATCTGGTAAAAACGCTATCTCATCAACTGACACTCTAATGCATTATTAGCAGGAAAGGCGAGAATCCCCCTTCTGCCTTTTAGAGGAATCGTGTGTGGGTTGGAGTGATTAGGAGGAAACAGACAAAATGTATAATATGAAAACAAAAGAAGTATCTGAGAATACTGCAAGAAAACCACCGATAAACTCGGGTCAAAGAAGAAAGACCCAGAATTGAATCGGTGCAGTGTCCCGAACGCTATGTCAGGTTTATTCTAACCTTATTGAGTTTCATTCCCAAGCAGGCAATGACTTTCCGAACAACCCTATATAATATGAAAACAAAAGAAGTGTGGAAAAGTATCTGAGAATACTACAAGGAAACCACCGATAAACTCGGGTCAAAGAAGAAAGACCCAGAATTGAATCGGTGCAGTGTCCCGAACGCTATGTCAGGTTTATTCTAACCTTATTGAGTTTCATTCCCAAGCAGGTAATGCTGGTGACCTACTCAATAGAAATTGTTAGAACAATGGGATGATGATGAATGACGTACGACAGGAATATTGAATAATTATTAGTGGAATATTACTGTCTCAGCAATTGTCTAAATGATCCACAGAAAAACTTGGTTTGTTTTCCACTAAGCCACAATCGCGTTTCGCCTACTTGTTTACAAAATCAAGTCAAAGGGGGCGACATTTCCTACCCTTCTTCCTCACCCATGCCATTTATTGCTCATTTCTTTTAATGCATCTAGTCCCACGCTCGACGATCTCCCCCTCCCACTTAACGACTACAACCCAGAAAACTATTGAGTAGCTTATAGGGTCTCTCCTTAGACGTCAGCTGACTAATTACCTGTATCCTTTAGAACTACCCCCATTTATTCGTAAGTTTTGGAGAGGGTTGTTTTTTGACTTAAGATCTCTGCTTCTCAGATCTTTTTATGTATGTAGGTGGATTACCTAAAACAGAAGACAATCGATGGAACCTCTTCGGTGTAATTGAGGCCGAAAGGTCTGCAACAGACAATTTGACGCTATACAAACTCATTTTATTTAATTTCTTCATTAAATAGGCAGGAGCAAAAAAAATGAAATAGGGTAGAAAGAAATTCGCGAGTGATTCACAAATAAATTGCCAACAATAATGAATCTACTAAATAAAGTAAACGATTTAAGTGTGTTTAAAATGTCGGTTCGTTCTAGATGGTTTAGCGTTGTTTTTTAAAAAATATAACGCTTTCGTTGTTGTGATGAAGAAATTAAAGTAATGATTATGTGAAATAACAATTTTTTGTTACTTTTCATCTCTGTGTGGGAGTGATAATCCACATATAATAGGAAACAGCCTTGAATATACCATCAGTTGATGGTGCATGCATGAAGTGACCAGAAAAAGATCAAAAGCGTAAAATAAACACTTGCAATATAAGGGAAATAGAAAACGTAAGTACCATATCCTAATAATAATATGTAGTAAACACTTCTACAGTAAAAAAGTTGTGTTCCAAGTGTGAATAGTTTGACGATGCACGTTTGACGAAACTTTGTAAAAAAATCTATTAGAAACAATAAGATACATATAAATAACCTGGTTTTGTTTCAACAATACGTTTAGAATCGCTTACAGGTATTTCCAAACAATCTTTTTGCCCTTAGAACAAGAGTTTTAAAATTACTTTTGAGGCGCTATGCTAACGTTTTATATTATTTTTCTAATGTCTGGTTGTTTTGCTAACAAAAACTAATGAGTATAAGTAATTTAAGAAAATAGCAGGTATCTAATACTTTTAATTAATACAACAATGCAAAAACTTGTTTTTTTTTGGAATCTACATAGATATTAAATAAATAATAATTGTAGGGTATCAGTAATTAACGATAAATCGATAACCTTCAGGCATTACATAACAAATGTTCCTGGTATTCAGAGTAAATATTTAACTTCACGCACTAATGTCAGTTCAAGGTTAATTTTGCTTCTAATTAAAACGGTAAATATCGGTATACTTATAAGCACCTAAGAAAATACAAAAGGATTTAAAAATCGTATTTCCTTAAAAAAAAAAACAAAACTAAACTAACAGAAGGAGAAGAAAACTTACCTTGACCTACTTTCAACAATATCTCATATCGACTAATGATTAAATGCCAATCGATTACTTCAAAATATTCATAATGAAAATAATTATTTTTACTTTCTTATTAAAACTCTAAACAGGGGCGAACGCAGAATAATATTTTTGAGGGGGACAGTTTTATAAAAAGGCAATAGGGACACGTCTAAATCTGATTTTTAAGAAATATTGATCATGAAAAAGCTTCCCATATATTTAGTATTTACAGTTATTATAATTTTTGGTAGAAAAATCGATTCTTCAAAAGGACAGGATTGTTAGTAATACAAAGATTATTGTAAATGGATAAATATTGTCTGGTATGAAATACCTACAAATAAAAGTACCGGTAATTGAAGAAAAAAAAACAGCTTTTAGTGGGCTGGATGCAAAATTGGAAAAAATATTGAACTCAATAAAAATTAATTTAGAATATTTAAATTAAGAAAAAAAAGTAAATAATGTTTACAAATATTTTATTTTGCGCCACATATTTGAAATCTAAAAATTATTCATAAATGTACATTGTACAGCAACCTGGTCCCTGGGCTTTTTGGTCTTTAAGTATGTTACTGTTATTTTCAATTTTAAGCTGACGAAGTCACATAGGTATAAACTCTACATAGCACTTTCAGCAAACGTTCTCTTAATAGTTGCTTTAATATATAAAAATTTAGACTCATTCTATTAACACACTGTTTAAAAAGTTACATGTATGTAATTGTAAAAATGCAAAATTTAAAAATGTGCAAATTTCTCACAAATATCTTAGGGATTAGACCCCCACAAAAACCCTCCCCTGCGTTTGCAAAGGGGTTCCCACGTTATTTAATTAAAGGAAAGAAATTTGCTCCCCGAGGCTGTATACGATTTTGGAGAGGTGTATTTGGAGCTACTTAGTAATAATATTTACAATAATTCTTTTGTCCTTCTGCAGGAATGGAAGGTTCATAGCTTCTTTAGACTTTTAGAGCTTTTATAAATAGTTATTAATATTTTTTTTCTAATAAAACGAAGTAGATCAAATTTGTATTGAAGAAACTAAACATGTTAATTGACTCTCATTACCCCTACACATCGGATAATAGAAGCTACCATTTATTTCAGATATTGTTTATTTTTTCTGGAAAAATGCTAAATTAAAATGACAATATATAAATGCTTAACGATTTGATTATAAAGAACAACCGTCGCAAACATAAATGTTTGAACTATCGTCACAAAGATCTTTATACGTTACCTACATATTTTTTTGCCTTCCGCTACGAGGAAAGGGGAACCAATATGGCTGAAATTGTCGCGTTTGTTTATAAAAAATAACTTCAAAATAATAAAATTATATGAATTAATTATATAAAAAAAAAAACAATCGCAACCAACAAACCCATCATTCATTCTATATTGACTGCTTTATTAAGAATAATTTCCTAGTAAGAAGTAAATGCGATTTCGTATCGGGGTTGGAATGTCACGTTTCCATTTCTGAAATCATGGTAGGGATATGGTAAAAATTGCCTTATGTATACTTCGTTTAGTTTCTGTAGCGATGTGACCTTCAGTTTGACCGGTGCAAAGTAGAAAAGAACAACACTAGGCCAGAAAAGGAAGGAAACAACTGTCGGCCAAACTCTTAACCGGTGAGGAGCATATAATCCGCACAGTACTGCACGGAAAAATTGACCATTTTATTCACTACAATTACATTGCTCAAATGTGCTGTTATTGGTACCAATTACTACTGAAAATAAAAGAAATTTGGTCAACGGGGCATATCCAAAAGGAAACAAAATATTATTTCTTTCTCAAGATGACAAGTTGCTTTGTCGGATAATAAATTAGAATGAAAGTAGCAAATGCGTAC